TTTTTTATGAATTTTGTAGGCCCTGTTGTAGCACCTAACTATGGGTTCTAAGATTTCATTTGTTGTAAGAGACCAAACAGGTAAACAGTWCGACATGGTTGAGAGTATAATGGCATGAAGATACTGTATATGTATTAGCTCAGCGCTACACTTTCTCCTCTCGTCACTGAGGTCCTCCCCACATGACAGAGAAAGGAACGCAAAAATGACTCAGCCTGCAACTGAAAATATGGATGGACGACCTCAGTTTAGCTTGTTTGTCGTGCTAGCGCTGAGCTAATATATACAGTTAAAATATATGTTTATCAAATAAAATCTAATGTTACAACGAATCATGGATCCCTTTAAGTCATAGTACTCAATTAATATTTGAATTACGTTAAGATTAAAAATAAAATACAAGTACAAGACACATTTAGATTAGGTTTAAGGCCATTTCTAGATTTTCACACCTTATAAGACCACATACTCAAATTTTAAATTATGAAAAATCCCATGAGGCTTTGCTGCTTGAGCATAAGTTGAATTTTCTTCAACAAACAACAAACAAACATCGTGGGCCACCACACTGGCTACTAGCTTAATCATGAAAAATAAAACAACTTTACATAAGAAGTATTCACATTTCATGTATTATATTACTGCATTTGGCCAGCGGCCCTCAGATTGATTTTCATTTTGGTCCTCTCAGAGAAAATGTTTGGGTGCCCCTGCATTACAACATTATCAGTAACTGTTGGAGACAACCTAAGTAATCCTTATGTGTACCTCTACAACTGATTAACCTTTGGAGCCAACCTGATTCAAAATGGCTGCCACTGCTAATAAACCTTAGTAAACACAAAGTTGTCTCAGTCAGTCAGAGTCAGTGTTGAGCTACAGTTTGGTGTGGTTTCAGGAGAACGTCATCCCTAACCATTTCCAAACATTCCTTCAAGGAATTCTAGTGTTTTATTATCAAAGGCAGAGAGTGAAAGCAGCAGACCTGGACTCTGTGTTGAAGATGCAGAATATGTGCTTGCTGGACATGAAACTTTTCTCCACATCGCGGACCTTCAGGTTGTCCAGGGGCAGCATGTACTTCTTCTCCTTCTCCTGGAAATGAGGGATAAAATCAGAAGGAACGATGGTCAGAGCTACAAGAACCCTCCACCCCCGACTCCATCGGTCACGTCGAGGACGGCCGTACGTGTAGAGGCGAGGGGAGCGCTGAAATGTACATTTTAAAGAATGAACGAGACAGGGGGGGTCAGCAGAGAAAGGGTGGGTGATGCGAGGGAGGAGGAATGGGGGAGACAGGGGAGAGGGAGGTGAGGTAAGGAGGAGGAAGAATGAGAGCACATGTGGAAGTCATTACAGTGTGGGTCAAGACCAGTTGTTCTTGACGGTGAGTGTGTTTGCCAAAGACTGGCGAAAAGGCTGAGGAATCAGACGGAGAAACGGCGATTTGTAAAACCGCCGCAGGTCCGGATGAAACTCGACTCAAACCCATCGAAGACGTAAAGCTGACCCTCATCCTTCGCTTTCTACCTCATCCTCCCGCCTATTTGTCTTATCCCTGTCCCCTTGCTTCTTTTATCACCCCCTCAATATTTCTCTCAATATTTTTTTCCTTTCCATTCCAGAGGGGCCCACTTCCTGCCTGTTTTTTTTAAGGAGGGAGGGAGAGAGAGAGAGAGAGAGAGAGAGAGAGAGAGAGAGAGAGAGAGAGAGAGAGATTAAATGACAGCCTGGTGTTAAAACTCAACATCTGGTAGTGCTTAGCAGCACACAGAGAAGCAGGGAAAGGAGGGAGAAGTTAAAGAGACGGCGAGCAGCGGAGGAGGAGGAGACACCCAGAGCAGAAGAGACGGAGATGTGGATTTGCGAAAACGCTCTGCAGACGAAAGCCCACGTCTGGCCCGGCAGCCCGGAAAGTTGCGGTCGACGGTCGCAGGTAAGAATCGGAGGAGACGGAGGGAGAAGATGGAGGAGAAAGTGAGAAAACTTGACAGACAATTCGAGGTTGGGGTCACGGCGGTCCATATATGGTCACACCCGACCCCTCCCTCTTCCTCTCCCTTTCTTCACCTCCCCCCCCMCCCCCCATCTCTCTCTTTCCCTCTTTTTTGGAATATCCCCTCCCTGAACGTGCAGCGTCCCAGTCGTCTGAGCGAAAATGCCACGTCAAGGCTGGATACTCTTCACGGCCGGCTTGACCGAAAACAGGACGGTGAGGGGACCCAAACGCCCGCCAAACTAAACAAACACTAGAGCGGCTTCGAAAAGCCTCCCCCACCCAAAACAAAAAAAATGGGGGGAAGCGGCGAACAAGGATGCAACGTTTTGGTGCTTTTTTCCGAGGCAGAGGCGACAGAGCATCTGGAATGGCAGACAGCGGCGCACAAGGCCTGGCTCCAGCTCCGGCTCCGTCCACCCAGTGTTCAGACTACCTGTTCATTGTCATACTGGTGTACAGTAGTCTGCACATTGGTTAGACTGGGCACGGACCCTCTTCTGTCTGTCTGTCTCTCTCTACAGTCAGTTCACAAATATGCATTTTTATCTGCATCTCTGACTTTAAGCTGACGCTTTCTGTTTTTCGTCTGGAGTTTATCCAAAGTGCATTCTAACAACACTCACTCACTCGCTTCCCTTTCACTTCGTCTTTTAAATAAACACCATTTCTCAGCACTAACAGCAGAGCCGACCCAGGTTTTTCAACATTTAGACTCTGGGTAAAACAAACAAAAAAAAACCCTTCAATGTAAAAACGGCGAGCTGGCTTTAATTCATAGCAGGAGTTGCTGCTCGGGTTCTGATGAAGATGTGGTCTGCTGAAAGCGGGGGGAGGTGGGCAAATGTGGCTGCAGAGGCATGGAGCGCAGGCCACAGGAACGAGGGGCCAATCAATCATGTGCAGTTTGAAAATACACCAGTGAAGTTAGTTCAGTGGGTGGCCAGGACAGAGCAGGAGGACAGTGATGTACGGTACGCAAGAAGCTGCC